TTCCAGCGAGTATATTTAAGGATGAAAGCGCGCGCATAGTCAATCGCGCCTTATTAGAAATACGGTACCGACGATGATGTCCACCGCTGAAGGGGCTGTGGATCTGATTGCTGCTTCAAGTTAGCATGCCGCCACTATTCTCGGGTTGCAAGGCGCAATGGACGACTTGTGCTGATTCGTGACTGGCTTGTACACAGACGACGCTTGTCAGTAAATCCATCGCAGTCAAAACACGGCTTTCGATGAAACTCGGAGCGCCATCCGTCCATTCTCATCTGCAATATTCGCCATATCTCCTCAGCAGCAGCGCGGAGAAACAATGACACCGAGAGACCTTGATTACGGCACGCCGATTGACGCTGTCCAGGTCGTATTCGTCCATCCTCAGGATACGATCCTACGTAAAGACAGTCGAAGCGAGACGCACGACCCCTCGACCGCTGTCCATGGAGCGTCGTGCTCAACGGAAGATGTCTCAGGTCAGACGCATGACAATCTGAATCACCCTCCAGATAAGGACGTGATCTATTCGAGAGAAATCAGGCCAAGGCTGATCTCGATAGCTGCCTCATCCATCTATACCGCAATAAGCTCTTTGAGCAGCGAGGGGTCCGTCTCCGGGGCTCCTGCATCGCCAATGCCCTTGTTGCCGCCAAAGGTCGGCACAAGATTCTCCAAGGAAGCAGCTCGCGTTCTGCGACAGTGGCTCGACACCCACAAAGACCATCCATTCCCGAGTCGAGATGATAGAGAAATGCTCCAGCGACTTACTGGCTTGTCAAACGTGCAGATAAAGACCTGGTTTACAAACGCACGTCGGCGACGCAAGCTTCCAGCGAGCCCCGCCTCGTCTGTGTCAAATAATGTTCGCGGCGAGACAAAACTATCAACACGGCCCGATACACCGATACCTGTGGATGCTGAAAAGGCAATTTATGCTATGGACCCGTTAGAGCGCTGGTTCGACTCTCCTCCAGAAGATGAGCCTGCATCCCCGAGGGATATAGCACGGGCGGTGTCTTCGGGGCGCCAGTCTAGTTTGCATAGAGGCAGGTTCATCTCTAGCGCTCTTCTTGAGGGCGTTCAGTCAGACCAGGCATCATTACTTACGAGGATCTTAGGATATTTCGGCCTGTCTAGAGACTCTAGCAGAGAAGACGGGTCAGTGACGCCGGCCTTCGACGGCATATCAGCAGGTAGCCAGGGCTCGTCTGTTCACGAATCTGCTAGCTCTCATGACTCCATCAGCTATCGAAAGAAGGCTACAAAAGGCCGAAAAAAAGCATGGCAGGGACGACCTGGTCGTAGCGGCATAAAAACGTCACTGCTTTCACCGGATGATCGTTTTCAGTGCACCTTCTGTACAGAAACATTTAGGAAAAAGTATGACTGGACTAGACACGAGAAGTCCCTTCACGTCCCCCTAGAGAGATGGGTCTGTAGTCCCCATGGACCTATAAATATCGATCCCGGAACTGGTCAAGAGTGCTGCGCTTACTGCGGAAAGCCCGAGCCTGACGACAGCCATACTGCTGTGCATAACACCGGCACATGTCAACAGCGGGTGTTCATCCGAAAGGATCATTTGAAACAACATCTTCGGCTAGTGCACGATACGGAGGGCGTGGAATGGATCATAAGGGGATGGAAAGCCCCAGGTCTTATCGTTCTATCGCGATGTGGTTTCTGTGGCATTGCGCTGAATACCTGGGCCGACCGCGAAGACCACCTAGCTGATCACTTTAAGCTTGGGCAGACCATGGCCGACTGGACTGGCGACTGGGGGTTTGAGAAACATATCATGGATACCATCGAGAGCTTCATGCCACCCTGTGAGATCCCTCTAGCCTACCTTCTATCCTCCTTTCCGACATCTTTGGAGACCGTTACTGACTATGAGTATGAGCATAGATGTCATCGACTACGACCGTAAGACACCTTTCCCGTTTGTGGCGAGCGGGGGAGCACCCGGCTCTCCCCGAAGTGCATACGAACTAATCAGTCTCGAACTCGCGTTCTTCCTCCATAAGCACTTCGATCAAACGAAGGACATGCCTTCGAACGATCTGTTGCAGCTCCAAGCATGCCGTGTCATTTTTGCGTCGGAAGCCCTGGTTCCCAGGGACGAGGATGGAGACATGGGTGGTGAAAGAGCTGCAACCTCGTGGCTACGGGATCTCATCACTTTCGACACCAAAGTAACGCAACAAGCTAGATTCGGCCCTCGACGAACTCAAGCTGAAAGCAGACTCGCTACTCTGAAGATCAACGGCAAGAAGACCCTTTTCGAGGCATGCCCCCTCGAGAAACAACTTCAAGACTTTGTTCAATGCTCTTGGGCAGCGCAGGCAGTGGTGCCTATGGACGGCGACCTCCAGAGTGAGGCATGCAGAATCCTTAGTCGTGCGGAAGGCGACCTGGAAACAAAGCCCCCTGATTTTGTAGCCAACTGGCTGATCAAGCTCATTACCACAACGTCGGGATGGCTTGGTGGGTTTAAGGAGCGAATATGTCTATCACATCAACTACCACTGGACGTTTTGAACGTGGAGTCCAATTCAAATCACGTCGACTCATCTCTGAATCCTCAAGAGTCATTTGGCCGTCATCATCTTCCCGACATTGCTCCCGAAAACGAATTTGACGAGCGGTCGCCCCAGATTCAAGACCACGAGCCCATCAGATACGCATGTGCAACCACGACTTGTCCCGACCTACAAGATACCTCCAAGGCCCAAGCGCACCTATCCGCCAATACCCAAACTCCATGGCCCAAGCTTGGATCTTACATTCTTAACGACGCAAACCACCACCGCTGGCTAGGCGCCGAACTCCAAAAGTGGGCGACGACCATTATGTCACTCGACAATCCCAACTGGCACATTCCTTCAGATGAAGAGATCCAAGACCAAGTTCGTCGTTTACTGTATGACGAGTAAGTTTATTCCCACAAAGCTATGCATATTACTACTAGGGCTTTAGATCCGGATTATTAATGATACCAGTGACGACCCTTGGAATCAAACAGCTGCAGATAACGCAGAGTGGCTACTTAATTTCAAACGCGATATTGGCATACTACCTCAGGCTAACTGCTGAGAGCGATGTATTGAACAACATTGAGGATAGTTTGATCGCGAATGGGTGCCTGATCTGGTATAACACCAAGCAAAGGATAGAAGTAGCACTGTTAGCATAAGGTAAGAGACAATATAGCGATAAGATGATTGACCACGCGGGATCCAAAGGACCTGGCCGACGTTTCTTGACCTTTTGGAGGCACTGGATGACCTACATCAACCCTTTAACCTGGTTCAGCCGTGATTTCCTCTCCGGCGCGCTCTAAATGCTCTAGTTTACCGAATTGGGGTCGGTTTTGCTGCCCGGTTCGATTCTCTTGCTGGGCAGCGCTGTGTGGAGTACGCCGGTCTGCTTCTATAAGGTATTACAACGGGTGAATATCTGATATCCAAATGCGACATCT